GCACTGTGGCACACCACACAAGCTACACAATCTGACCCTTGCCTCCAATCTGGTAACTGAGGCACTGCACTCAATGTCATGGGTGGCATAAATCACTCAGGAGATGGCAACAACGTGGGGGCTCTGGTGTCCTGCAGACCTTGCAGATGCTACTTTAAAAACTGAAGTGTGAGTTAGGAATTAAAACCAGTTCCCTTACTGTGAATGCTGATTAGTGCCTTTTACAGAAAGACAGAATATAGAACATTGCATTCTTCATTTTAAAACCAATGAATCTTGAACCCATTCACCACTGAGATATTTAAGAAACATTTCATTTCAGCTTCATTTCTATAGTATTGTCTGCTGCTAAAGATAAAAAAGTAGCCTTAAGTGTGGCACAAGCACTATTTCTTACCTCCAAGACCATGAATATTTTCTTTGATGTCTCTGTTACATGATACAATTGGCAAACATCTTGCTGACTTCAGTTCTTCATGGCACCAACTCCTGTTCCAACACGAGGCAAGTCATCCTTAAGAGACCATAAAAGCAAGCTATGAAATTGCTAACGAATTTGGCACACCAGGTACCACATCTGACTACTGTGTAACATAAGATGTCAAAGCCTGTATGTGACAGTACACAATTCAGCATCAACTCAGCAATGGCTGACATCACTCCCATAGGAATTGTAAAACACAGATCAGAGAAAGCTGAAAGGTAAAATATCCAGTAATTTTACTAGCATTTTGTTAAAGTTGCTGTAGTACTGTTGAACTTCCTCCAGCCAGAGAACATTGCCCTCTGAACAACAAGGAACAAGATTTGTGGTGTTCTGCTGAACTTTTTCCACTCCTACAGCATCCTTCAAAAGTAGGCTACATTTCTATGTACCACCTCACTGTGTTCTCGAGAACTCCACAACTCCAACAGAAGGTGTCATCATACTTAAATACCTTTTGGCTTACCCCTAAAGCAACTTGGTCCATGATTTTTGCTCCAACTTTTTCCACCAGTAAAAAGATGCCGTCCGAGTTTCACCTCTGCAAAACCACCTAAAATTCAAAACAAAAATGCTAAAAGTTGACTGTGAATCACACTGCAAGGCTCAGACTTCCCTTACGCTAACAGTACAGAGCACTGCTCAGAGCTTCGTGCCACAGAGCAGCAGCAGGGCTGGACTACAGCTTTAGAATCATAGAATCACAAGGTTGAAAACCACCTGCAAGATCATCTAGTCCCAACCGCCCTCCCATCACCACTGCTCCCACAAGCACTGAACCAGATCTCGCAGCTCCTCATCCAGACGCCTCTTGGACGCTGCCAGGGACAGCGACCCCGCCACCTCTCTGGGCAGCCAGTAGCCTATCCTAATTCTCTTTCCCTCTCTGAGAGAAAAAGCTCTTCCTTATGTCTAACCTAAACCTCTTCTGGTACAACCTGGGCCGTTTCCTCCAGTCCTGTTTGTTGCCTGGGAGAAGAGGCCAAACCCCTCCTCATCACAAGGAGCTTCAGGAAGTTGTAGAGTGCAATGAGGTCTCCCCTGAGCCTCCTCTTCTGCACACTGAACAATCCCAGCTCCCTCAGCCGCTGTTCATAAGACTTGTGCTCCAGACACCTCACCAGTTTCGTTGCCCTTCTCGGGACACACTCCAGGCCTCAATGTCTCTCTTGCAGTGAGGGACCGAAAACCAAACACAATACTCGAGGCGCGGCCTCACCACAGCTGAGTACAGCTCCTGCTGGCCACACTATTTCTAATGCAGGCCAGGAGGCCGCGGGCCCTCTTGGCCACCTGGGCACGCTGCTGGCTCGTGTTCAGACAAGCACCCCCAGGTCCCTTTCCTCTTAACAGTCATCCAGCCACTCAGCCCCAAGCCTGTAACGCTGCATGGGGGTTATTGTGGCCAACGTGCAGGACCCGGCACTCGGCCTTGCTGAACCTCGTTAGGAAGCAGCTAGAGCCACTCCCTATACGCCTAAGCGGCCCAGCAGCGCTCTGTCCCTTAGCAGGACCGCCTCAGCTTCGATCCCACCCCGCGCTCCGCTCCGGCACAGCGCAGCCCGGCCTTTCTGCAGGCCGCTCCGCCCGAGGAGCGCCGCCGCCTCAGCGCAGACACACGGAGCGCTACTCCCAGCCCCCCAACCTCCTTTCCAGGGCGACCCAGGCCTCCGCCGCAGACCGGAACCGCGCTACGACGGGCCGAATGCGAGTGGGGCAGCCGGCAGCTGCACAGAGCGCGGCCCGGCCGGCAGCACGCCGGGTTCGAACGTCGCTGTCGGAACGCTCACTTCCGGCCGGAGGAGAGGATGGACCAATCACCGCAGCGTCGAAACCGGAACAGCTGTTGTGGCGCAGTGCATGACGGGAGGAAGGTAGGAACGGGATGCGGTGCGGTGCCACAGCGGCACCATGTTGAGTGGGTCTCCGGCTCCACTGCCGCGCTGAAGAGAGATGGAACGCGGTGATGAAACTGAATTAATGCAGGCCAAGGAGGCCTGGATTGCCGCATAACGCACGTTAATGACGAATCGGTCAGAGCCGTTTTATCACTGCCCCCCAAATGCACTTTGAGTGATTTAGGAGCATCAGTGGAATTTTGAATCAACTCGGCCCCTGGCTGGCTGGAGTCCTGGCTCCTGCCTGCCTGCCTTGGCTGGCTGGCTGGAGTCGGGGTCCCTGCCTGCCTGCCTTGTTTGGCTGACAGCAGTCCTGGCCCCTGCCTGCCTGCCTTGGCTGGCTGGCAGTCTGGAACCGTGGCTCCTGCCTGCCTACCTTGGCTAGCTGGCTGGAGTCATGGCTCCTGCATACCATCCTTGGCTGGATGCTGGAGTCCTGGCCCCTGCTTGCCTGCCTTGTTTGGCTGGCTGGAGTCCTGGCTCCTGCCTGCCTGCCTTGGCAGGCTGGCTGTTGTTTTGGCCCCTGCGTGCCTGACTTGGCTGGCTGGCTGTAGTTGTGGCCCCTGCCTGCCTGCCCTGGCTGGCTTGCTGGAACCGTGGCCCTGCTTCCCTGCCCTGGCTGGCTTGCTGGAACCGTGGCCCTGCCTGCCTGCCAGGGCTGGCTGGCTGGAGTCATATTCCTTTCCGGCCTGCCTTGGCTGGCTGGATGGAGCCATGGCCTCTGCCTGCCTGGTTTGGATGACTGGACGGAGTCGTGGTCTGTGCCTGCCTGCCTTGTTTGGATGGCTGGAACTGTGGACCCTGCCTGCCTGCCTTGGCTGGCTGGCGGGAGTCCTGGTTGCTGCCTGCCTGCCTTGGCTGGCTGGCTAGAGTCCTGGCCCGTTCCTGCCTGCCTTGGCTCGCTGGCTGGAGTCCTGGCTCCTGCCTGCCTACATTGGTTAGCAGGCTGGAGTCCTGGCCCCTGCCTGCCTGACTTGGCTGGCTGGATGGAGTCCTGGCCCCTGCCTGCATGCC